CACAGAACCCCGAGTTTAATCGCGGTGTCACGTCCCAGTAACGCACACCCTTTTCCGTTGAGCACAACAAACTCAGCGTGCTTTGACACCTTGCCGTCTGCGAGACAGATGTCTGCTGCGAACACTCCCTTGATCTCTAATGGTTCATCAGACTGATATGCGTACAGCTTCTTACTAGTGTATCTCAGTTTCGCGTTCAGGCCGCCCTTAACTGAATTCCAAATCTGCCAGTTAACAATGTTACAACTAGCACCAGAGTCTATCAGCATGTCCACTGACGTTTGCCCTATTCGAACTTTCACATGTCCATCTGGGATTCCCCCTTTTTCGGTACCAATTGTGAAAATGTCGTCGTCAGACGATGAGCTACTGTCCCTTCTTACACTAGCTCCCTGTGTTCCACTCACAGTCTGGACTTTCTCGCGTTTTCCTTTACGCCATCCGGCTTTCCCACCTGAAGCGTCCTTTTTTGTTCGGCACACCTTGGCAAAATGTCCGACTCCGCCGCACTTGTTGCACTTCTTTCCCTCTGCTACTTTACACTCTTTCGCGATATGTCCGGTATAACCACACCGATAACAGTTCTGTCCTTGTTGACGATTACCACGACCTCTACCGGCAGCACGACGTAGACTCCGATCCTTTGATCTTCGTGGCCTGGTCCTCCACTGCCTCCATGGCACTCGCGAGTTCACAGAGTTTATCAAGAGTCAAGTTCTGTTCACGAAGAAATCTACGGCGGAACTTATTCGACGTGCACTTATTGATCACCTGATCGGGGATCATATCATCCTGAAGCGCCCCATACTCACAGGTTTTCGAAAATTTCCTCACCCTACTGACATAGGCACACATGGCCTCTCCTTCTCCTTGGCATGGCATTCGAATGTCACATTCTTCTTGCCCTCAAAGTACGTATTGAGTGCCTCCAAGGCTGGCTGAAAGTCACTATCAGTCCCAGTATTTGGCAATGTCTCAAAAATGTCAATGCAGGTTGGCCCTGCACAGTGAAGCAACAGCGCCCTCTTTTGGGCAGGCTTCGTAACGCCAGTAGCAGCAAGGTACAGCATGAAGCGTTGCCGCCATTTTTCCCATCTCTGAGCAAGACTGGCCGGCGCACCTTCCGTGTCGAATGCCTCGATCTGCCCTAAGTTGAGAATGCTCGTGGCCATGTTAGCAAGTTCTTGGTAGCTTACTTTATCCTCGTCGCCACTGTTGAGACGCACATCCGAATCGAATCGATTACACACTGTATTCAAACACACGCAACTTTATTCCAACAC